CAAAAGAGTGCCTGCCACTCTTCTGAGCCTGCTGTGCTGGGGGGGGTGGGGATGGGTGGGAAGGGAAACAGATATAGAGTGAGACCAGTCATATCCCTTGGCAGCAGGCTGCCCTGTGCTCATGAATATGCTGCAAAGGGGACTTCCCAAGATGGAGACTGGTGGAATTGTCTGTAGCCATTTGTTGCCCACTGGGCTGGGTAAGTAATCTGTGTCAAAAGCACAAAGGCTGATCCCTTGCTCTAGACTTGTGTTGAGGCTTGGCCATGGCCCATAGCCATGCTGATACTGACCCAGCTGGGCTATCCCAAATAATGCACTTTGAATTGCTGTTGGCTTTTCACCGCCAAATAATCGGGATGTAGATGATGCTCTCAAGTTCACGTAGCTTTTAGCTTCTTTTGGCTCTTAGAGCATATTAATCTGTTTTTTCTCAAATCATCTGACATCCCTTAGGTCTTTGTGCTGCTGAAAGATAAGTAGTCTCTTGCCAAACCAATGTTCCAAATCTCCTTTTGACTTTATTCTTTGACGCTGGATCGTTGTCTTTGTCTCTTAACTGCATCCCCACTGGAAGCCAGAGCTGGCCCTACTGCAGACTGCACTGGGGCCACAGAAATGTAGACAAGTAGTTTATCCTGGTTTATATTGTTGTGGACTCTTCCTGTGTAATTTCCATTCTGATAGAACTTCGGCAGCTTGAACTTAATAGTGTTATATGTCATTGAGCTTATTTTAAAGCAGTAACTAAGGCTGAGTTTTTTTTCTTTGCCGAGTTTGAAGCCTCATTCTTGTCATTGCGAATGGAATTAGTGTGGAGTCACACTGAAAAGCTCAGCCCTACTACATCAGGATCAGTTTAGCAGTTGACAGTGGGGAAGGAATGTGAAGTGCTTATAGGAATGTGAGATTGTACGGGTCATGTTATCTTTGAGAGATTGGTGGTAGAGTGTCACAGCAAGTTTTGGAAAAGTGGCTGCCTTTGGCAGGGGTTGGGCTTCACTCCTTAAGGGACCATGCAACGGAAGGAAATTCCAAGTGGGTGCCACATAAGAGAACTCCTGTCAAGCTGGGACTTAACTCTTTTATTTGAGGATTTGGGATGAGAAAGATTCAGGTTTGCAGTTATACCGGCCTCACAGTTTGCCTCTTGTGTTGTGGCTCACTGGTACAGCTATGCAGCTGTCTATACCAGGAGCACGAGAAGTGGAAGTTAAATCAGGAGTGCTGGTGCGTGTGCCAGCCTTCTTGGAACTGACTGTGCTTGTCTTGTCCCTTAAAAAGCTAGAACAGGTCTGGGTTCTGCCTTATCAGTAGCAGTCTACTTGTGACTTGCTGTGCAGAAACATAAGCTCTCTGCTCTTCCTAGGATGAGATGTGGCTTCCTGTGGGGTTTGCGTGTACTTAAGTCTTTGCACTGTGACACAAAGCCAGCTCCTGGTATCTCTTTCTGCAGCACATCTTGCTGTGTGAGGCATCTTCTACCTCTACTAGCACAAACAGTATGCAACTGGCCAAAGCAAACTTATGCCCTCTCTTCTGGGGAGCTGCACAGGGTGTCTGAAGCTGGTACATAGCCTATATGTGGAATAGTAATTTATAATGCTCTGATTTCTCCCTTTTATTTAAAAAGTGAAAATATCCTCAGAAATTTTAATATGTGGAGAAGATAGTGACTCTACTTAGTCACATCTCCACAGGCAGTGTGGGTGAGGCGGAGGGTGCTGTCTCCCACCAGCATAACTGTGCACTGGACAGAGGTTTGAGTACTTGTAACAGAGACTGATTAGCACCAGAGCACTTCTTCACCAGTGGCTGTTGCTGTCTGGGAGGCAAGACAGTGGGCAGCTGTGATGCTGATGCTGTCTGTGAAACACCAGAACAAATACTAACTTGTGGCTGAGCATATCAGCCCACAGTCCTTCCTGAATGTAGCTTACCTTGTGTAACACAAAGGCCTTCATAGTTTATGAAGTAGGCCTGCACTTACAGTCAGATTTATTCTTAAGCTTCACATAGTTAAGGCAACTAGGGTGTAGAGGAATCACTGTGGGGGGAAGAGAAAAAGAATATAGAGGATTCTGAAACCAGATTGGGAATATAGGATTATGAAGCATATTGGTCTTGTATTTTTATTTTTTCTAAAGCTTGTGGGACAAGCTGAATGCCATAAATGTAGTGAAGGTGAACCAGCAGCCAACTATTGTCAGTTTGTGAGAGCAGGATATGTTTGAGATAAGGTGTTTGTGATTTGGTGGAGTGCTTATTGTTTTCCACTGCTCTGGACTACCTTTTTAGTTTGCTGAATGTGCATCTCCTGTCCCTAATGTACATGGAGCAACTGGTGAAAATGTGTAGCTGTTTAGTGGCATGAAATTAAAGCATTGCATCCAGAAGTAAAGCCAGATGAGGAAACCTTGTGCTTAGAGGCTGCTGCCCTTTTGGCTCTGCCTATTTGTGTTAACATATGGGTGGAGAAAAATGATGGAACTATTTTTATTTTTTCCTTCTTCCTGGACTGGTAAAACCACTGACTGATTTATGTAAACCACTAAACTGAACCAAATTCTTTTGGCAATAGTACATGCTAAGAAAATGCAGCTTGGCATCCTCAGCCCCTGCTTTCCTCTTGCGTATCACACCCAGCTGGGCTGGTGCCACTGTCTTCCAGTGCTCTGATCCAGAAGGTTTGCTGATTCTGGTCCACACATTTCAACAGAGTAACTGCTATGGCTGGTAAAAGGCCTGAATTTAATTCTCTTGCACCTCATCTGCTGTTAGCTCCTTTTTGAGATGTTAATATAATAAACTTTTATGTGCTGCTGACTTTAACCACAAATCAAAGCCTGGCTTTAAATGTAAAGGTCTATCTCTTCTGGGAGGAAACTCCTGCTTTCCCTATGCTAATTTGCAGGGTGTGGAAGGATACTTGGGAAAGTACCACTCTCTTAACCCTCTTTTTGCTTGTGTTCCCAAGCGGCTGTTGTGTGACAGCTTGTTGGCTTTGTAGATGCAAGCTCAGGTAAAGAAAGTGATCTGTCAAAAATAAATACCACACACTGCCCTCTGCTTCCTTAGGAAAAGTTTCATGATTTCCTTGAAGTTCTTGCTGCTTATTCATCACAGACTGCAAAGGATCAGAAAAATAAGGAAGATCTTTTTCTACATCAGCAAGCTAGAAGGAGAGAATGTGTGGTTGGGAATCCTGCTGGTAGTAGCCAGGGTCTGTGCTCTCCTGTATGTGCTGTTTGAGAAGTCAGGATCCTGGACCAAAAGTTCATCTTGCAGCCCACATCTGAAATCCTTGTAACATTCACTTGAACTTTGCAAGAGTTTCGACCCTTGCAGTTTCTGTTGTTTCACTTGAAGGATTTGTGCATTCAGGAATCCATTTTCTTTTTCTTCTTCCTATGATACAGATACTACTTGCTGCTTTTAACACAGTTAACGATCAACTTCTTGTGCATCTAACAGGTCCCTAACCTGTACAACATGTGGTTCAATGCTGTGCACAACAGTGTGTATCAGTGGCATGCTCTGTAAACCTGTATGCATGTGTGGTGTGTTGGATTTGGTTTGCTGCCTGACCTACTGTTAATAGTTCCACAAGTTGGTTTTTCAAGGGGTAGGAGGAAATGCTTCTGAAGACTGTCAATAGGACTTAGGAAATGCTTTCTCGTGACTTCCTGGGGGAAGCCATGCACATGCAGCACTCAGACTAGAGAATAAGAGGGTGTTGCCATCTGCCAGCTCTGGGGTTCCCCCAAGTTCTTATATATTTACCACTGTTTTTGTCCATTTTTAAAATCTAATCTAGTAATCCAGTTTCCAACCTTTCACTCCTTCTCTTGAGAGAAGAGCTGTCACTTTTGCCAAAGTAGCTGTGGTAGAAAACTCCTGCCCTGTCCCTGAAACTCACTGCATGCGTGTGTGTCTGTTTTCCTTATGCGTCCATTTCTGCAAAGAGTAGGTGTAGGTGGCATTGCTGCATGGTGCCAAAGTTCAAGGGCCTTGCCAATAGTACTTTCCAGCAGTTTTCTTGTCTTCCCCTTAAAATGATGAGAACATGGACCACCTTGGTTGGTCACCACACCAGCCAGTTAGTTTGTGCCAAACTCACCCTGTGCCTTCACAATAGGTTCTGCCTGCCCTGCGTCCCTGTGGTGTCTGGCTTTCTGAATGCTCCAGGACTTGTTCCCTCTCCTCTTCCTCCTTTTCCTTTCCCCTTGCTCACCCGTGGGACACTTCTCTGCTCCCAGTCTGCAGGACGGTCTCTAACTGCATCCATCCCGCTGTGTGGCTGTGCTTCCGCAAAGGGAGACTAGAAATCTAACTTGGAAATAAATACCTGTTTCTTATGGGGCTTTCTGTTGCTCTGGGAAACAGCATCTAAAGCAGATTTGAGCTAAATGCATCCTGGGACTCTGCTGTTGTCACTGAGTTTGAGAAGCCCCTGAGGCACACCATGTGTGTGGAACTCCTGTGGAAATCACTGATGTCAGAGCAGCAGCTTGACCAGCAATAGCATATGCAAGTGATGTTATTTACATAGCAAAGTATTCAAGTAGTGTTCACAATAATTTTGAAATTACAGTATTAAACCGATGCTTTTTTTCCTCCCGTTTCCTTTTTCTAATGTTTTCTGGAGAGAAAAAGTATTTATTTTGGCAGAAATATATCTTCTAATAAAAACTTTCTCAATGTACTCACCTGGCTGCGGTAGATTGTTTGTTTTGCCCTGTAAAGGTACATTAAATATTTCTGAGCATGCTGTATGCCGTGGGTTTGTTTGCTGGGCCCTATCCTGCTCATCTCATTCAAAGTGTTCTCAGGGTAAATACATGTCAGCATTGGTAAATGCTGTAGTTGTGTGCTTGGTGGGGAAGGGTTGGACCAGATGCTCTTGGAGGTCTTTTCTAACCTTAATGGTTCTGTGACCGATCTTAGAGGTGAAAGATAGGAGCCCATCTATTTCTGCAGTTTCTGGTTTCCGAGCGGAGCTGGGCGAGGGCAGGTGCGTGGAACCTGTGGAAGGATGCCACGCACATGCTCAAAAGGGAAAGTTTTCCTCCAACCCGCGGCGGTCGCTTGAGGAACTGAACCGGGCCTGCCGCCTATTTCCTCATTCAGGAAACAGATCGTACTCAGCCGCTACGAGTAGCGGCCGTTGCGCTGCAAGTTTCTATCTCCGCCACGAATCAGCCTGGCTGTGCCGGCGTCGCCTCTAACTCCGCTCGGGGCCTCGCGGCGGCGGGCAGCACAGCCCCCAGCCCCGCCTGCCGCCACCGGGCCGGGGCGCAGCTCCCTCAGCTCCGCTGCCGCCCTGCGGAGCGGCCGCAGGTGCCCGCTCCGCTCCTCCTCGGCCGGGACAGGTAAGCGGGGCGGCGCGGGGGTTCGCGGGGCGGAGCCTTCCCCGGTGCCGGGGCGGCCGCCCCCCGCCCGCCATTTTGTGAGGCAGGGGCGCGGAGCCCCTCAGCTGTGAGCTGTCTGAGCGCCGTCGTTCCTTCGGAGCGCGCCCTTTCTCTAGCTGAAAGGCGGGTACGGGCGCGCGTTCCTTCAGAGCAGCTGTGAGCGCTGCAGCTGCGGCTCTGGCGGCGTGTGGGGGAACGCGCTCCAGGTGGCCTCAGGTGCGTCTCTCAGACGGGGGCACGCAGCGCTGGGCTCCGCGCATCCTCTGCTCAGGGAACGCTCGCCGTCCTCTGCGCCTTCTGGCCCAGATCCGGGTGCGTGGTGCTGCCGAGGGCCTCCGTGCCGCCTCTCCTTCTCTTTGGGAGGGACGCCGAAGCTCCTCTAGCCGTTTGCTTTAATTTCCCTTGAGAGTGGGATGCACTTCGGTGAACTCGTGCGGAACCTCAGATCCTTCCTGCAGGATTTCCTGCCGGGCGGTTGCCCCCTCGGCCGGAGACGTGGCCGTGTCGGGAACAGCCTAAGGAGACGGGTAAACAAAGTGCGGTTTTCCAGTTGAAAACCGACCCGCTGAATCCTTGGTTGTTCCGATGGAGCTGGTGGATGTTATGCGTGACGGGAGCTGCTGGCTTTCAGCCTTCCTCTGCGCAGCTTCAGGAGCAATTCCCGTCTTACTTTTCATCTTCTAGAGCTGTCTGTTTCTGTGTATCGCAGAAAGTATACGTATGAGCATATCTGCCTGCTGAGAGCTACGGAAACCCTCTGTTCTACATCTGATGGGGAACTGGCCCAGGCTGTCCTTTCATCAGGCAGTTTGATCTGGCAAATAAAAAGATTTCTTCCCCCCAAACCTAATTTGATATGCATTGTGAATTGAGGCTCTATCATCCCTTGATCTGGAGATGTTACTGCAGACAAGGAGTCCACATGGGGCTGTCTTCAGCAGCGCGCAGGCAGTGCTGGCTCTGCTGTAATCCTGGCTGCCTCAGGAGTGACCCGATGGGATGAGGTTCAGTAGACAAGTAACATAAATCAAATGGACACAGCTCCCAGCGCAGTGTTCTTCATGGTCAGAGAGCTTTGCAGGTATTGATCTCCATATGCAGTAAGCTAGGATGGGTTTCCATAATGCAGCTCACATATTATGCACTGCCTAAATATTTCTGACTCGATATGGCTGTGCTGGAGATGGAATCCTCCCACCTCTTTGCCTGCTCCCACGAGCTCAGCTTGACGTTAGAGGCAGTGATAAGAGGTCTCAGCTGTAGTACTTCTGTTTTCTTCATGGAGCTGTGCAGTGTCTTTCCTGCTCTTGCTCAGTGCCTTTGCTTGCTGTCTGCATAAGGGCTAAAGTTTTAAAACACGTTTTACTTCAGACATCAGAATCCAGAATGACCTATTTTGAAGCATCCAAGGAGCAGTACTGAAGCAATCAGCGAGGCTTTGTCCTCTGTCACTGTGCTCCCTCTAAGGTAGTGCATGGCCCAGCAGCTCCAAGGGGAGATGCTCAGTGTTGCTCTCATTGCTTCTCTCAATATTTTTTCCAGCACTTTCTCTTTTCCCCTTTCTGCATCCTAAAGCTTTGATTTCCTTGCTGACTTTAGATGGATTTCCCTATGTACGGCTCTAATTATGATTTTGCTAAGCAAACCTGACCTCTGCAGCTGCATGGGGAGTGCTGAGGTTGGGTCACTAAATGTTCTGCTGCGAGGTGAAGCACAGTGTGCTCTGCTCATGCCACGTGCTCATGTCTGTCAGCCTTACATATTTACATATCATCAGACAGACATTTAAGAGAAAGAATCAACAGTGGTGGCATGAGATGACTGGTATCTCTGTGGCATAAAAAAAAATGCCAGCTGCCCAGATATGTCATACAGACTATGCAGTATCAGTGACACATGCTTAGGATGTAGTAAAGCAATTAGGAGAAGTGTGTGAGGCTGTGTGAAGGGATGTACAGGGAGCTTCCTGAAGTCTGTGCTGGCTGATTGCAACTGCACGGTGCTGTCTTTGCTATTTACTGTGCTTCCCTGAAAGGAGGGAAACAAAGCTGTCAGAAATCCTGTTATGGCTGCACTCTGTCCAGCCCCTGGGAAGGGAGAGTTGGCATGGGCTGTCCAGGCAGGTGGTAGAGTAACTGTCCTGGAGGTGTTCAGGATCCGTGGAGATGTGGCACTGAGGAACATGGTCAGTGAGCATGGTGGGGCTGGGCTGGGGGTCAGACTGGATGATCTTAGAGGTCTTTTCCAATCTTAATAATTCTGTAGCCTTCAGAAGGACACCTTCAAGTCAAGGCAGTTCTTTCAGCTATCCACTGTCCCCACATGAAGAAAACAGATCGAGCTTACCCTTTGCTGAGGATTGGAATTGAAGGTGACTGTACTGTCAGAATGGCATCGGTAGATCTTTCCCTACGGATTGACTCTCAGCTGACTTCAGCTGGGCTGAGCCTTACCTGCTACAAGGGCTGCGTTCAGAGAAAGTGAGCAGTGTGCTGTGCTGGGAGGAGCTGAGGTGAGGGGATGGGATGTGTAAATATTACTCAGAGTGACTTGCACTTAACCCAGGCATATGGACTAAATGCAAATACCCGTGCCGTTTTTCAGGTGGGACGGGTTGGCTGGCAGAGCTGTCCATCCCTCTCCACTGTGAATCACCCGAGGCTGAGACCTGGCGGCTGGCGTTGGGCCAGCTGCCCTCCTGGGCAGCTGCTGAGCTTTGCCCAAGGAGGAAGGCAGGCGTCATCACTGAGATAAGACACAGCGTGACCAAGTCCTTGTTCCCCTTGGCAGGCACAGCTGAGTTTGCAGCCCGGAGGAGCAACCAGACCTCACCTCTCCTCTCCAAGACATGGAGCCCTGACACAGGAGCCTTGGAGGGAAGGTACGTGTTGTTGTGCGCAAGGGGATGGTGAGTGCAGAGGAGCGGCCACCTGGTTGCTCTGCAAGTAGAAGGCATGGAATTGGGAGCTCCCATGTCTGTCTGCTGGGGTTGGAGGTGCTGCAGCTCCATGGGCCTGCAGAGCTTGGTGTTGTCTGAGCTGCCCTGAGGGTCTGGCAGGGCTAAGGGCTTGTCCCTCTCTTCAGCTTTCCTATTTTTGGAGTCAAGGAGTCTGTTGTCCTGAGCTGTGTCCTTCTGCCTGATATCATGGGAGCTTGGAAAGGAATTCAAATTTATTGGAGGGATAAAGAATGCAGATGTCCCTGCAGATGCATGTTTCTTCCATTTCACATCTTGCTTCTGCGCTCGAGAGCTCTCTTCCTTCCTCCTCACCCTCTTTACCTCTTACAGGAGCTGGCAAGGTTTCTGCCCTTTAGAAATGAAACCTGAGGAGTAATCCTCTGCTCCAGTACAGATGCACAAAACCCTTTGGTTTAATGCTTTAACTATGGCACAAAACATCTTTTGCTTCCTATGCAAATCTGGCTGCTTGTTCTAAGCTGCTGCATGCAAAAGCACCACTTGTAGTTACTCATGCTGGGCAGAGTGGTGCAGGTTTTATGTAAAGTATGAAGATAAGATTTCAGAGGTTTGTCAGAGAGCACAGCAATACACAGATTTATGCTGCAGAGAGGTCAATGTGGCAGTGCATCATTCATGATGATCCCATAAAGAGCTCTGACCAGCTTGAGATTGGGTATCGCTTTCCCCTTATGATGTATGGCAGTCATTAAAGGTCTGACTCCTCGTGATGGGTCCTTGGTATAGAAGAATAGACCCCCAGGTAAGAAAGTGAACAAGCCTGTCTTTCTGTACTTGCACAATCCTACTCTTAGCAGTTTCCTGCACTTCAGGCACAGTTTTGAATGCAAATCACTAATCCAGTTGAATTGTACATATTGTTCTCTTCCCATATCATTTGCACACAGGAAGAGAAACTACGTTCAGCAAACTGCTTCTGCAGCAGGGAGAGAACTGCCCTGACAGAATACAGTACTGGCTCAAAAGATTCACTGAATGATATTAGTATGAAAAAAAGTGTGCAGTGTATATATTCAAATGAAAAAAATCTGTATGTGCACATGTCACATATTTCTTCATTTTGTTTTTCCTTTTCCTCCACCTTCCTGTGGTGAAGTTGCTCCTCTCCTGTTTGCAAACTTGTCAGCTGGGATCCTAGGCAAGAGGTATTTAAATTGATATCCCTTAAAGGGATATCAAAGGAGCTGGTAGCAGTGGACTGATGCTCACTAGCTTTGGATGTGTAGGGATTTGTTGGTTGTCCTCTCCCCTCTCTCCTTGCCACATCCCTGCTGCACCCAAGCACAGGATCAGGGCAGACTGTGGTTTGGTGACTCACCCCATTCTGATGCCTGGGTCCCTCTCCTCTGTTCAGATTGGGCACATGGCATTCAGTCTGTAATCATGCTTGAGAACCCTGACTGCTTCCTGAAGTATTAGAGAGGCTGCAATGAATAAAGATTGTTTTAATCCAATCTGATCTGTAAATCCATTTCTCCGAAAAATAAAAGAGTGGGGGGTGGTAGTCATATGTCTATGCTAAATCAAAACCCTTCCTGGCATCAGAGGATGAAGGCTTTTTCTTTTCAGCAGTGTACCATTAAATACAGAAGATACACAGTATGGTTGGATTAGCATTTCTATGGGAACCATAACTTTTTGCTTTCCTTAACCTTTACCCGCATAGTGGATAAGAAAAGATTCATTAATGTGGCTCCAAAACACCTTTTTTGTTTGTTCAATAAGCTTGTTGTTGCGGTCAGTACTTGGAGAAGCTTTATAAGGGCCTGCAGGAGGAAATGAGAGGCAGGGCAGGCTGTGAGGCACAGAAGGGCAGCTCTTTTCCTTCTCTGTGCTGCTTAGCAGCATCCCAGCTAACACGAGGTGTGCAGGCTGAGACCACAGGTCAGTGTTAAGCATCTCTGCAGCAACGATAAACAGAATGGTGAGTACGTTCCCCTGCTCAGAGGCAGGTAACGCACTTGGTCTGATTTTTATTTGCCTTGGCTATGCAGCCAGAGCCTGCCCCAAAAGGTGCGCAGTCATTCTTGCTGCCTTTCTCTAGGGGAAGAAAACTGTGTGAGGAATGTCCCACCTTAACCTTTGCCTCTTGCAGATCCTTCGTGTCTTGCTGCTGAGAGCTGCTCTCTTTGCTGTTTGCAGCCTGATGAAGTCTCTGCTCCTCAGCTGCTAGCTGAAGGGTCCTGGTTTATCTCTCCTTTTCCTTATGCTTTCTTGCTTCTCTTTGTGAGACAAGTAGTGCAGTAATAAGTCAGTGGCATCAGGTTTGAGGTAGGACTCACAGGGACAGTTTCCAGCCCTGCTCTTGTTGAAGTGGGGTGGGCAGCAAGTTGCACGCCTCGGGGAGCTCCAGTTGTGCTGATGTGACCCTGCAGCACAGATGAGAGATTGTTGTTTCCTTCCATTTCTTCCCCTCTTGCCTAAGGCAACTTAGGAACAAGCCCTTCTCCTTCACAGCTGTGCATGAGGCAGGATTATGAGGAATTTACCTTGGGAATGTAATGGCAGCATTTCTTGTGCCTTTTCTGTACTGACTGCTGCTAGCCAGCCTGCATTGGAAAGGGGACCGGATGCAGTGGGAGCACTGCAAACCACACCTCCTGCTGGGACCTGCTCAGATATTCTGTGTACAGTGGCAGTGTTGTTTCTTCCTTTGCTTTTTGGTGTGGACTACTGCTGGCTCCAGGGAAGGGAAGCAAAACCATCCTGCTCCTGGAGGTACTTGGGGACAGCCACAGAGAAAACATGGGGTTATGGAACTGGGGGAGGATGGAAAGTCACTCTTGGATGAGGAATCGAGGGAAGGAAGGCTGAAGGAGCTCACAGCTGCTGTGTCTCGGCAGAGTTTCTGCCTAGGAACTTTTTTTTCTGGTTTCCTGCCTTCCCGTGGCAGAGGGAGAATGTGGGGATCGGCTTTGAGGAGTTGGAGATGCTTGATTAACAGGTGGTGAATTCTTCAGGTTGGGTTACCCAGTGTCTTTGCAAGTGTTGAACTGAAAGTATGTGCTCTCCATTTTGATGTAGTTCTGCAGGTTGTTTAACCTATGCTGGTGACCAGTTGATTTTGGAGCTGTGGGTTTAGAATACCACTGCAATGGCTGCATTGCACTGTCAAGGGTAAGGAGAGAAAAAGTACTGCTTAGAGTATGTGTGGTTGTGGTATTTTCTGAGTAAAACTGTACTCATCTGATTAGATTGAATACTAAGGACTTTTTTCTTGCATACTTTGTGAAGACAGAATTTGTCTTTAAAAACATTTGTTAGGAAGTTTTCTACCACCTCATCTACGTTCTCCTCTTACCCCCTATTTTCTGCAGCCCCTGTGTCAGTGCTGCTGCTGTGGGCTTCTGACCTGGTCACAGCTTTCAACAAAGGAGGGAAGATTTCCCCACAGTAATTTTGATTTCCCCAAGCAGTCAAAGCAGCTGAACAAAGAGAGCTGAACATAAGCACCTCTCAAACAGCATCAGCTTCTGAGTTTGCTTGAAGTGCTGCTGCTGGCTGCTGTTAGCTGGGAGGATCCCTACTGAGAGGTAACTAAGTGTTGCACAGGGGTACTGTGGCCGTTTCAGTGAGGCAGAGATCGGGTTAATTGTCTTCTCATGATTGGCTTCACCCAGCTGCCTCAGCTGTTTTGTTTGAATACATTTGCAGAAAGGTCAGACTGTCCATGACTCCTATACATTGCTTGTGGGCGAAACCGATGGAGCAGCAGCTGCAGAGAGGCTTCTCTGGGGAGTTGCTGTCTAGAAATCTTCTCCCTGCTCTTTCTTGCCGAGTCATCTTGCTTTTTATGTATTTTTTTAATCCCTTAAGTACATCTTGAAGATTCACTGTAGTGAGGTGAAACTTCTCTCTCTGTCCTGTTGCCAGCTTGCAAGCCAGAAGAGATCACTCTGTACAGTTCTCAAGAGAGGCTGGAGAGGCTTGCATCCCCCTGCAGCTGTAGCCCTCTGAATAAGTGCTGTTCAGGTACCACAGAGACCTTGGTGGCTCAGGTGAAGGATAAATTGCTCTCAAAATTCCTCAGTACGCAATGTGAGGGGATGCTTTACCCAGCAGTAGAATTCCTACTTCGGAAGGGGACTGGGTGGTTTGCTGTTTCATCCGTGTGTGATTTGGGAGCTCTGGACTGCATGAGGCTGTCAGTTGTTCTTGTGTACCATTAAATTCCGGATCAGGAATCTTGATCAATGAAGGTGTAACTCTTTCCTCACTTCTGTTCTTTGCACCCAGCATGGCCAAGTGGCATGAATCTGGTGGGACTACTCTGGCTTCTGGTTGCTATTGCAGGTGCAACCTGCTCTGCACACGCTTTGCTTTGCTGGAGGGGCAGGTAAGGCAGCTCTGAGGCAGTCACTGGTGATGTTCAGTTCAACAAGCTGAGGAGCTGCTCTGGACTTGTGTCATTTCCTGAAAAGATTATTTGCAGAGCTTTGAATGCCAGCTTGAAGGCCTGAAGCTTCTTCCTTGTGGGGCCTTGCTGGCTGCCAAGCGGCCATGGGAGTAGAGGAGGAGTCAGGGGATCTGCTTTGGGGCTCTCCTTGCTTGGTTTTCAGCTCAGATCAGAAGCAATCCAACATGTCTGATGTCGAGTGCCAAGTCTTCCGTCTTCTCACCTATTTTTCCTATATCTTCACTTCCTGCCTTGCCTGTAGGTATCAGTGATAGGGCAGAGCACATGTGGACAGCATACTTGATGTAAACACATGGAACCTCCCTACTAATTGCTGTACTCAGAGCAGTGTGTGCCTTCAATTTCGCAACACTGCTAGGAGTGCTCAGCTGGTGAATAAAGGCTGTATTATTTCTTTGCAATTAAAAAATCCCATCTTTCTCAATTACAGTTCTTGAGTGGATTGCCCCCATCCGCTAGTAATCACATACTTGTGGTGGAACAT